TTGCTGTTTCATCAACTTTTTGTTCTTCTTAACACTGACTAATGCACATTTGGTTTCAACTGAGTCTTTTGAAGTACTAAAATAAATGCTTAATTTTTTGTGTCATTGATGACACATTGAAAACTGCGACTATTAGCCAACTTTAATTTTTCACTAAGAAAACAATGAAATTATGAAAAAAAAAATAAAACAAAGAAACAAAAAGATTTTATTTACTTTTTTTGTAAACGGGCCAGAACTGTCTTCAGCTTACGAAAATCAACGTTTGACAAAGCACACAGAAAAAAAAAAAGAAAAAAAAAATTGGGGTAAACAGTAAGAAAGAAAAACTGGCTATGATAGGGGTTTTCACAAAGATTGTCAAATAGGCTTATGAGCTGATAAAGACCAGTATTTTATAACCATTTCGAGAAATATGTCTAAGTCAAAAATTTATAAAATTTTGTCTAGCACACAGCTACAATATGTTGTAATTGCAAAAGAAGAGCGCTATTATTCAAACAGAACGTTGCATTTTATTTTGGCCTGATTTACCCATTCTCTATTCATCCTATTCATCTATCAGACCCTTCATCATTCATTTGTTTTATCATTTAATTTGGTAAACAGATGAATCGTTACTTCATTATTATTTACTTGCTCATATATTTTTTGTAGTACTATATATTTTATTAAATTGCCAACTTTTCACTTAAGCCTCCTGCACTATGGCATTCTCGTTGCAAAATGGTAATGAGGAAGGTTTACCGTTGATTACGACAACAAGTGTTAGTTTTGTCCTTATAACTAACAACTTTACCGTATATTGCAATGATCATCATAAAGTAATAAGTTATTTTGTGAATCTCAAATTATTTTACAGTATTTTCCTGGTTTTATTTTTCTAAAATATTTTTACAGTGTCATCATTCAAACCGCTATATAATTGTTCAAACTAAACCGTTGTTTTTTGGCTACGTTATAAGCCACTGTTAACAACAAAATAGGAAAAAAAAGCTTATTACCAGTTTCAGAACAGAATTTACTTAGGATTATATAACAGAGCTTAAAATTAAAAAAAGTCTTCAACTAAAAATATTAATAAAGAATGCATCAGAAAAGTTAAACATTTTTCAAACAAACTATTCATTTAAAAAGGTTGATATTTAACCTGCAATTTCAGAAAAGTGTTGCCTGTCTGACTCTGCAAAGTTTAACATACTATCCACCAGATTTCTCTATACCTATTTCTAAGCCGTTGTTTTTTTTTTTACTAAAATAGTAAGTGAAATTTTGAAGCGAAATACGTAGATTTTTTTGTCATAAACAAGCAGAGTTCTCTGAAAAATAAAACTTTTTTTGAGTTTGTTTCAGTAACTGTTTTGCAATTTTTCATAACCAATTAGCAGCCGCTTTTTTTTTTTGCTTACACTTATCTGTAAAGATTCGGTATAGTTTTAGTTCAATATTTTTATGACTGATTTACTGTTTGCTAAAGCTGTATATAGCTGTACTGTTTAAGTATTCAACGGCAATTTAAATTTGCAAACTAACTTTTTTTTAACTACTTTTTTAAAGCACTTGCAACATTGATACCTGTCTTATTGGGCAATACAAGTGAATTATTCGATTGGATTTTGTGAATATTTGACTTCTGTGACAACTGCTCTATATTTTTTTCTTTTTGAGGATTCTAAATTAGATGGTTATAAGTGTTTTAATTACATATCCAAGTTTTTTGTTAGAACGCTCATAATTTTCGCGGTATTTGACCTCGTGATTGATTCGTAAGTTAAAAAAAAAGAAATTTTTTACCTTTAATAGAAGAGAGAAAGGTAAATCAATTTTCTTTTTTTTTTGAAATCTACTGGTAGTTTTTTGTTGCTGCTTTGGATATATTAGGTTCTCAGCAACAGCAGCTAATTGTTGAGAAATGATAGGAGTGGAAGTTTTAGTCTTGTTCCAGGAGGTAATTGTTGCTCGCTTTTGCAGTTCAAATCGCTTAGCCTGTGTGCTTTTCAAATTTGCATAAGATAGTTGTTCTGCTGGTGTATGAGGTAATTTCTCTAATGGCCTTTCTGGAGGTGTCTCCGGAATCGGCTGTCCGCTCAGACTATCAGAAAGATGCGTTTGCGCATTCTGTTGACCTTCAAAGTGAACATCGAAAACGTCAGGTGCAAAAACGCGTTTCATATGATGACTGATCCATCCTGAATCGCGTTTTAAATTACCAAGCACTGAACTATTGCATTTTTTTCAGCACCAATGCTAACGCGCTGAAGACTTTTTTTGGAAACTGATAGCCTATGATATCTATAAAAGATCTGAGAATATAGAAATTATCTTAAAAATTATTTCAATTTTTGCATCTCTTTTTCTGCTAAATTTTCGTTTATTATTATTTTTTTCTTGTTGCTGTTCTCATGTCCTTCACTTTTCTTTTTCTTTTTTTCCGCTTTTCAACAAATAGTAAAATTGTTTTTTACTAACACACATTTGTAGAAGAAATTTTTTTGCTTAGAACGCAAATTTTCAACACCTAGAACGCAGACATACTTGAGGATCCAGGTTCCAGAAGGGAAGAGCCGGAAAATGCATTACTGCCTGAACCCATTGACCCTGGCGTCAGCAAACCAGGCAATTGCTGAATTATAGGGATATTTTGATCCTCATAATCATCTGATAACATCGATTGAACTTTTTTGGTCAAAGAAGTCTCTGACAAATAATATTTCAGTAGTATTAATGCAATAATATTTGACATAATTACCATACAGCTGCTATTTTATACAGGTTGAATAAAATTATGGCGAGATTTAACTTTAGATCATGTATGATTCAGACAATTTGAATTTTTTTTTATTTTGGTTCTCTAACTTTAAGATTTACAACTGGTATATTTTTCAAGAAATAGGAGAGAAATTTTTGCTGACTTTTATGAAGCGATAATTTTACTTTAATACCAGGCCAACGCTCCTTCTACTTTTTATTTCTAAAGTATTTTCGCTCTTTTTTGGATAATTATGCTTAAACCACAGTTTTTGAAACTTGGTTAATTTTAGATAACTTTAGATAATTTATCAAAGTCACAGGTACTCTAACGTTGTATTTGACTCTGTTTATAGGAAAAATTTGGATGCAGAAACTAATGAAAACATTCACTGTACGCACTGAAAAAGTGGCATCCACTTTGACTGACTACGGTTATTTTAAAAGTTTTAGAAAAATTTTTCTGAAATTTGGACTGCAATATGAAACTGATTGAGAAAAGAAGTATTGAAGTGAAATGATCCTTCCACTGCAAAATGATTAACTGCGAGAAAACTGCAAAATTGTTGTAGCTTTAGTTATTACAAATTATCTGTTGCCGAAGTGAGCGTGGTGAAGGATTTATTTTCTGTATCACATCATCCCCGCAATACTTTGTGACTGAAAATTTCTTATATAGGCAAAATTTTGTGTCCCCTTCGGTTTATAGCTTCGACAATGGCAACTCTGTTTTATCTCGCAATCAGAGCAAAAAAAAAATTAAAGATAAAAAGCATTAAGGAAATTTGAGAAACTTAAACCAATGCACTTTACCATTTTCCAAAACTAATACTCTTAAAATCGGTGATTTTTTGAAATTTTGCAGAAAATTATTCTTTTTGAAGTCAATTTATTATTTCAATCCAACTTCACTTAGTTTAAAAAAAAAAAAAAAAAAAAGAAAAGTTATAAGCCTCAGCAAGTAACAAACAGTTCAGAAGCAGTTCTTTTGTCTCATTGTCAAAATCCACTTAGACGCTTACTTCAGCACAATTTTTGCAGTTATGAAAACTGATCTTTGCCTGTTCAAAAACAATTTTCTCCTCTGCTTTGAAAGCACAATGATTAAAGTTTCTTGAAAGCAAGTTTCTCTCAAGAACTACTGCCTTTGAAAAATTCGTTACTGATCACTGCTTTCAGTGACAATCTGAAGTGGAAAGCCGAATAGTTCAGCAAGAGACAGTAAGACATAAGAAACGTTTTAGCTTACCTGTATTTAGTGCTAAAATCCGGAGAAGCTGTAAAAGTAATAATATCACTTTTGACGACATTGTAATCCAAAAAAAAGGAAGGAAAAAGAGAAGAAAACAATTAAAGCTGTTTTTTCCTCTTTGTTTTTTTCTTAAATCTCCTGCTGCTCTTTGACGTCTAAAACAATGATAACGATAACAATAGACCTAATTACAATGTGGTTTTTTTTTATGCCCATCTCGCTCGGCCAACAACCATGCTTTTGTTTCCACTGGCAACAATTTCTGAATTTCCTGTATTTATTTTATTGGTCCATAAATCCCTTCAGAATTAACAAAATCATATTTTCGGCGGTTTAAAAAGTTTTGGAAAAAATGCCAAAGCAAAGTCCAGTAAACAAACAACATGTGTTTTCGCTCAACAATTATAACCTGCTTCTGTTTGATACGGCACTATGGGAAAGTCTTATAAAGCTTTTTTTTGAGTCTTTCTTTTTGATTATAAACATAAACAGTGGTATCCTGATAAAGCACTTTACACTGCAATCATCCTGTTGGTCGTTGGAAAAGTTAAAAATAAAGTGTTTTTGGATTAATAGCCTAACATTCGGCAAATCTATTGGCAAAATTTTCTGAACCTTCAAATCGCAAGGTTGGCAGAATGCCAATTTTAGTATATTTTTTTTTCCACCAATTGCAACAAATTTTTTGAAATAGTTCATTACACCCAAATTATCTGTCTATCATCCACTCAAAAATGACTTATTTATTGCAAAAATTGTCGTCTTTGTGCCACTTATAGTAAGTAATTAATTTTTTTTTCTTTTTATTAAGAGGTTAACAGAAAACAGTGGAGAAGAAAAAACTGTTTGAAAATTATATTTCAGTGTTAATTTATTGCTATGATTTGTTGATTTCGTGAACAAAAATTTGTGCCAGCGAAATGAATGACAGATTATGATGTTGCAATAAAAAAAAAAAAAAAA